AATTATACTTGGAGAAGAGTTCAAGTTATGAAGCTCCGCATTATGCAGTTTTCTCCAACCTCCTGTCACTTCATCTCTCTTCGGTCCAACTATTCTCAACACCCTGTTCTCAAATACCTTCAGTTTATGTTCCTCCTTTCATGTCAGAGACCAACTTTCACACCCATACAGAAACACAGGTAAAATTATAGTTCTGAATGTTCTATTTTTTAGGTTTCTAGACAGCAGACGAGAAGACAAAAGGTTCTGGACTGAATGGTAGCAAGCATTACCCGAGTTCAATCGCCTCTTGATCAAATTTTGAATTGTTACTATTTTTCCCAGTAATATTTGAACTGTACCACATTTTCAAAACATCTCTTAGCTACTGCCTTTTGGTAAAAAGAAAGAAGGCAGCGAGGCTTATGAGACCACTTTTCTTTCCGTGCCCTCCCCTAATTTTTGGTTTTCTATGCGATTCGTGTAGCATCAAAAGAAAGAATTCGGTTAGTTTCTGAGTCATGAGACAGAAAAATATGGGACTCGGGACCAAGGATTGCTGTCCTGGCGAGGTCCCAACTCTCGTACTTCCCAGAACTTCTCGTTTTCTGATTGATACATATGTTAAATGTTTGGATGTCTTGTTCGGTCCGTGTAGTGTCAGAGTTGAACTTCAGGTATGGATTATTTACATTGAACTTGTTTGTCATTCTAACATTAATACAAGTGTAAGGACGAAGATTCCTCATGTTAAAACTATTTACAGCAACTAGATAATTATATTTGATTTCAGATATTTATGATTTACTTACATTGCACCCCCATTGCAAAGGCAGGCCATTCAGAAGTAACAGTTCTTTGTCGCGACTGTTTCCGACTGTGACTCCGTGCTTCACTTTTACCGTACCCCATCGCTCTTAAGTGCGTGAAAAAATTAAAAATTTTCGGCTGAGAAACATAAAAAACAAGCCTAATAAAATAAACTGAATTTACATGAAATACTTAAGTGACATTTAAAATAGACTTGTCTCTTCCGATTTTTTTCTAGACTTTCAAATTTTAATATAGGTAATTTTATTTCTACATTTTAAATTCGCGAATATTAACTTTTCAAATCTCCCAAAAATTGTAAAACAGGCGGGGTGGATAAGCAAGGGCCTCCAATATAAAATTTGATCGGATATATATACTGGAAGCTGGGCCCATCTCAGTTGTGCTTAATAAATCTCCCCCAGTCTGTCTGTATGTGTATCCCTCTATTGTTGCTAGGCAACGGCTCGAAAAAGATTACTGCGCAACGAATATATAAGCAACAATAGAATTGTTTGACGCATGATTTTCTCTACCGTCCGTGTCGTATCGAGAGCAGGAGATTGGTTCTTCTCAGAACTTCTTGTAATAAATATTTGATGTCGACAAATTTTAGTTACATTACTTATCAGATTTTATTAAAGTCTGTTCCATGGTTATGTTACATGCTAACAAGAAAATATGGCTAATCAAATGGTCATTTTTGCAATTCATTGCAAAAGCGCGAAAAAAAACGAATTTCTAAACAGGTCGATGTCATTTCCTTTTTGCCAGTTGGCTAAATTTCTTGTTGCGAAAACATATAGGAATGTCCCAACTTAACGTGACGTTTATAAATTGGTCTACTGTTCATTTTAGACTATTACATTTATAATCATAAACAAATATAATATTTCTTAGCGTAAACTTCAACAGAAATGTTAATTAAACTGTTTTAATGGGACAATTTGTTTCATTTAAACAAAACATATCTTATTAAATAAGACAGTTTCCATTAGTGAAGCAAGCAACAGGATCAAGCTCCTTTGTTTGTCACAAAATTCCATCAATATCTGCCTGTGGCTGTACAGCCCTTGTGGAACTTGGCCGCTATTTGTTTCTTAATGTTATACAGTCGGTAGGACTCTTTGGACGGGGGATCAGCCCGCCGCAAGGCCGCTACCTACACACAGAACAACACGAACACAGAATAAACGCACACACATACATGCCTCGAGTGGGATTGGAACCCACGATCCCAGTGTTCGAGCGGGAGTAAACGGTACATGCCTTAGACCGCGGGTGCCCCGTCATCTCCCCGAGCAAATTACTTTCACAATAATTGATGAGTAGTGGAAATTCGTATCAGAAAAATATTGAAACCTACATGTCCCAAGTTTTGATTCTGCGATACAAATGGGCTTAGAGCAACAGACCATGCGATTATAGACCTGAGGTTCTCACTGAGGCGAAAATTAATATAAATATATCTCGTGGTCAGAATTATGATTACTTGGAATGCGCACATGTGTACTATTCCAGTTGACAGCAATGTTGACCGTGCGATATCGTGCATGGAAGTTTGTATGGCTAAAACACGTGGTTAAGGTTTCATAGGCTCAACCGGTCAGTCACTGGCTTCCCACGGCGGTGGCCCGGGTTCGATCCTGGGTCTGGTCAAGTGGGATTTGTGGTGGACAAAGTGGCGCTCGGGCAGGTTTTCTCCGAGTACTTCGGTTTCCCTGCCAATCTTCATTCCACCAATTGCTCCACAATCACCCTCACCTATCATCTGGGGCTGGTACAATAGGCCGAAATGGTTGCAGTACAAGGGACTAGGTCCCACCCCACTAGCAATAAGAAAAACAAGGTTTCATAGTGTACGGCAGTGTTTCTCAACCACCGGTCCGTGGGGTACGGGAAAGCAAACAGTACGTAGGGCACTGATTTTTTTTTCCTGGCACTACAGCCCCAGTGGGCCTAGGCCTACCTCCATGAACTTCTCCGTTCACTTCGGTTTTTCTCGATCTTACACATACGGTAGGATTCCTTGGGCGAGTGATCAGCTCGTTGCAAGGCCTCAACCTGTACACAAACACAGAAAAACGCACACAAACATCCATGCCCTGAGTGGGATTCAAACCCACGATCCCGGCTTCCGAGCGAGCGAAGACAGTGCAGGCCTTAGACCGCTCGGCTACCGTGACTGGCACATGGCACTGATACACACACAGAATAAAAAGTCTGTGAACTGCTTTTCTTTTAATTCTCTTAGTGGGGCGTGGAGTCCAGCTGGGTCCACTCCGCAAGGCGGCCACTGATTGACCTATTGTAGCCTGCCCCCCGTGATTATGATGAAGAATTTGGTGGAATGAAGATTGGCAGGGGAAACCGAAGTACTCTGAGAAAACCCGCCCCAGCGCCACACTGTCCACCCCAAATCCCACTTGACCAGACCCGGGATCGAACTCGAGCCACTGCGGTGTGAAGGCAGCGACTAACCGCTTGAGCTATGACGTGGCCTCCTCTGAACTGCTTTGTCATACAATTATTCTGTGTTGTCACGAAAATAATATTTTAAATTATTAATAGGTTTCCAAAGCATGAACATCCGTAAAATTTTATATTGCCTTTCGTGCTGCTGTAACATAATTTGATTTTCATTTTAGTCATACAATAAGGAAAATATGACGAACTTTTAACAAATTTATCAGCTTTTCCATAACAGATTTGTGAACAGAAAACGCTTAATAGAATAGACGAAGGCTTCATATCTACTCTGACAATACACATAATAAAAATTGTAAAGTAATTATAAGGTTTCAGATTTTCAAATGGGCAACTGGCTCGATGCCAAGACTGTCTGGTACTCATGAACCTTCGTGCATCCTCACTGTAGGCCTACAGAATGGAGCTGGTTTTGTCCGATGCGTAGGTCATCATCTGCCACAACAAACGCCACATCCATAATTATAGCAAAAATTAAATTAGGGCCTACTTATCCCTGAGCTGAGCAGGCACCAAGACCCATTGCTCTCCTGCAGCTGTCGGAAGATCTATATATCTATGCCTGTACTTTTAGGGGATCTCAAATTATTTACTAAAATCTAATTTCCGGCCTAGGCCTATAAACAAAATATCTAAAAGCTAGAATTTCAAAACGCGGTACCGTATAGGCCCATTTGCAATCGGGGCCTCCAGCCATCTCAACTGGGATTCCTGTGAGACGGGAAGTTTGTCACTGCATTTGAAATAACGCATTTAGGCCTTATGTTTTCCAGTATAGGCCTACGCTAGAATATGATCTAGGTACAGCTATTTATTAAAACATATTACTGTTTGTAATATTAGGCCGCACCATAAATCAGGCAATCAGAAGCCTGCTTTCTACCACTGCGACCTGAGTTCGTTGCCAGGTTTGTAGGACTTCTGGTGCAGGTATTTCCTGAGGACCTCGATTTTCTCTGCCTATTCTAACTCCATAAATAGCTTCATAGTCATTAGTCATCCTACTGACACCGTATAGTTTAGATACAGTGTTGTTGAATAACAATAATATAGTTCTTTATGCTCAGTACAATATATTCTGCATGGAAACAACCTCACATTGCAAACATGGAGTTGGAAGGTTATACGTGTTGACAGTATCCATTCTTTTCTCTGTACGGGGAGGAGCTGCAAAACAAGTGGCAGCGTTTGCAGTCCTACAGTTTCAAGCACATAAAGACCACTGCTAAGTTGATTTGCTCGCTACACCTAGCGCTGTAAAGTAATGAAGAAGGCAGTAAATAGGACCACACCTCTTGACTGGATTAAATAGCAGATATCTGTTATAGACTCATCTAATTGTTTCATTCTCGTGTTTCGAGTAGGATGTGCAATGATTGGTATTAAACCGCGTTTGGCATCACTTTTAACGACTTGTCAGAAACGTAAAATATCTACTATTTGAATCAGTGTCATAATGGCGAACCATGAAATAAATAATTATACTTAACGGGAATGCCTTTATAGTGACAGCAAGTTTAGAATTACATAAAACATATTCACAACCATAAAAAATAGTACGGAAATTATCACCACAGAAAGAAAAACTTCGTAGAGAAAATTGCAGATGGTTAACCTAAAACTTTTCATTCGAATTCGAAATATAAATTAACCTATGTCAAGGGGCCCATACACGTATGAGTCTGGCTCGGCGAGCTTGACTCGGGAGCCGGGCTCGGATTAATTTAACCACAAACGCATGAGCTGACTTCCAACTTTGCGACCCACATACGGACGAGTCTGGCTCATTGGAACCCGAGCAATGTCGGACTTGCGAGCCAGGCTCGTACGTGTATGGGCCCCTTAATATTGAAGATATTAACCCATATGATCAATAGTACCACATTTTACAGATAATCTATAAAACGTAACATAGAAAAGTGGCACGGCAATGTCCAAATATTTTTACACTAGCATAACTCGATTTGCCTTCATTTCATGTTCATGACCGTACGCCTCTTCCACAGCTGGATGCAGCAATGTGTTGGCTGTCGATCTCAGTATTAAATAACAGTTTACAGAATAACTTTGGTAACTTTTAGGAGACTAAAATTGACAGCTCCTTCTGCATGTCCATCGTGTTACTTAACTAATTAAGCACTGCTTTACTAAGACGTATGGGGGAGTGGATGTATAGGTCCACATACTCTTGACCTCAACTATAGTTGGAGGTATGTCCATTATTAATTAAAAGATCTTTACATGCATGGGTAACAAGCCTACATTCTGAATAATGGTTTTGAAGCCTAATTCCGATCTGCAAGCAACTTACTGTTGTCGACGTCAAGGGTGTATTTCACTGACACTGCTCGTCTTAAGGTTGGCATTCCTGACGTAGGAGTCCAGTCACTCAGTTTCCCAGTGCGACTAGAAAATCACTGACACCGGCCTCCTAAGGTGTTCCAGATCTAGTGCGGGCGTTGCGCTGCTGTTCTCGGGGCTCGATCCAGGACTTCGCTGTCCCGACGTCGTGGAGCCACTTAAAAGTAGAGGCGGTGGAGGCGGCTGGAACAGAGCACTGAGGGGCTGTGGGTGAGGCTGGAACGCTTTAGTCTGACCAGACGTCGGATGAGCCAACCCAGGAATGCTCGCAGAGTACAGGGATGAGTAGAAGGGGTTGACGACGGCTGCCGAGACGCTAGCGTTCTTACTAGTGGCGGGCGTCGGGGGTTCCGCAGCGGCCGCTTGACTTACCAGTTTAGATATATGGACAGCATCGAAAGCGGACCCAAAGTAAGACGGTAGAGGATGGTAAGGCCCTAGATCTAGTGAATGAGGGGGAACTGTCGGGGCTGCAAAGTATGGTGGCAACGGGAAACTAGGGAATGCGGTGCTTACTGGAGGAGTCGCTGCTACCGCGCCACCCACGCCAACCCCCGGCGTTGTTTTGCTGCAACCGCCGAGTTGTCCCTGCTGCTGGAGAGGCAGTTTTGGCTTCCTCCTTGGCCGGTACTTGTAGTCAGGGTGCTCCTTCATGTGGACGGCCCGCAACCTCTTCGCCTCGTCTATAAACGGCCGCTTCTGCATCTCCGTCAGCAGCTTCCATTCGGCTCCTAATCTTTTCGAGATTTCGGAATTGTGCATTTTAGGATTGTCTACAGCTATCTTGCGCCTCTGGATCCGTGACCAAACCATGAAGGCGTTCATTGGCCGCTTGATGTGTGGTTCTAACGATGGATGTGAGACCTGGTGGTGGTGAACAAGGGTTTCACCGCTGAAATGCACGGCTTCCATTCCAGGCGGCGCTGGGAACGGATACCCTTGGCTGCCCACAGACATATCACGAGGACACGCTAGCTACTGCCGCCTGTGCCAGCTAACACGTGATTCTTCGGCCCCCTGTCTACTGAATAGGCTCCGCCCACTTTGTGGGCTGGTACGGTGGGCGGTGTCGATAGGCGGGGACAGAACAGGCCTGTTACCCAGTTGACTCCGCCTATGTCTTCTGATTGGAGGAGTCTAATAATAACCTAGTTCTGTGACCCATTTACCTCTGTAGGCGGAAAATAGGAACCTGGACGAGTTACTCCAGTAGCAGGAACCCAAGTTTTGTTGTTTTGTATTGTCCAGCACCTGTTCACCTCTGTGATGAAACTACTTATTCAGTTTACATAGTGCGTAAGGATTTCAGGTCCTGTCCGGTTTCTTTGTAGTGGTACTCATAAAAAAGCTCTGGAAATGAGAGATTTATTCACCTGTATTAGAGTAACTTTTCATGAATGAAATTTAATGTGTTCATTCTGGTCGGTGCTCACGTTTATGAGGTGTAGTACTGTGTTACATGGTTGAAAAGTAATGTCCCCTTCCAACCGTTATTTGGGGAGTGGGGGTGGGGAACTAAACTACATTTTTCTTTTGCCGGATTATGCCATTGGTCTCTCAGTATGTTTCGACATCCTGTTGCAATGCTTAGTAACTTAAATTGCGGGGGCAGTGCTGGAGGTGTAATTTCTTATCGTGCTCGTTGACTGTTCGCGTGTTCATGTTGTCACTTCAATTTCTACACATGCTACTCTCTGAGATATATTTCTGCCTATAACAAATCAAACCCTGATTCAGGAGGAAATTAAGAGGAGATTGAACTCGGGTAATGCTTGCTACTGTTCGGTCCAGAATCTTTTGTCTTCTCGTCTGCTGTCCAAAAACACAAAAATTAAAATATACAAAATTATAACTTTGCCTGCAGTTCTACATGGGCGTGAAACTTGAACTCTGACATTAAGGGAGGAACACAGAATAAGGGTGTTTAAGAACACGGTGTTGAGGAGAATATTTGGACCGAAGAGAGATGAAGTTAGAGGAAGTTGGAGAAAACTGCATAATGAGGAGCTTCATAAATTGTACTCTTCTCAAAGTATAATTAGAATAATCAAGTCAAGGAATGTGAGATGGGTAGGACATGTAGAATGAATCTGTGAAGGAGTGTATGCATTATATTGATGGTAAGGCCAGAAGGAAAGAGACCATTGGGAGGACCAAGATGTATGTGAGTGGATAATATTAAAATTGATATTAGACAGATAGAATGGGATGGCATGGATTGGATTGATCTGGCTCAGGATAGGGACCAGTGGATGGCTCTTATGAACACGGTAATGAACCTTCGGGTTCCGTAAAATGCTGAGAAATTCTAGAGTAACTGCACAATTGGTGGCCTCTCAAGAAGGGCTCAGCTCCATGAGTGAGTTAAGGTCATGTTGCATTTCATATATAATTATTATAAAAAATTGTTAAAATTAGTTCCAATAATTGTTGTTTAAACCAAGTTTTAGAGGAATGAACTAGGAAAAACAATACAGTGAATTACGTAAAGATTTTTACCTGACGATCACCGTAATAAGATCGAAACATGTAAAAGTAACGTTCATAAAAGGAATTGACAACACAGCACGTGAACAGGCTACAGGCGCAACCAGATTTCCCCTGCAAATTAGAATTTTCGTCTAACTTTGTGACAGTGCATGAAGAAAGACATACCAACAGGGCTTGAGGTGGGGCGGGATGGCATCACGGTTCTATTTTCATTCCACCTCAAGCATTGCATACTACTTTTGAATCTGTCCGATAAATGATATAATGATACAAATTCCGTCCCAAGTGCAATAAATATATTATGTGTCCTTGATCTTGTTCACCAACACTACATGTTTCGGCCTCAGACGGCCATCATCAGGTGTATAACACTCACGTCGCTGTCACACTGCACTCAGCCCAGAATTTAACACTTAAAACACTTTCCTTGTTATTATCAACATATACTTCCTTGATATCTGCCTGGATGTAGATTATTTTACACACGTTAATTTTGACGTACCTGTAGTAGCACTATAAAATCTTTAGTCCTAATTTTAAAATCCTTTGAAGTTTTTTCTCTAAATTTTAATTTAAAATTGTTAGGGTTACTCGCCCTATGTCTAAAGGGCTGCAGCGGCTAGTTCTTGTTTCCACACTGTATAGGTGTTATCTGTAATATATAAATATATTCGTATTATTATCTTGTGTACGTAATGTTTTCTTATGTGTTTATATTGTATTTGTACTTACTCTGTGTAGTCTTCCTGTGTGGGTGCCGTTGCTTGTCTTTACTACGTGTGTTGTCAGATGTACTGTGTGCTGAGTTTTATGTTGGTGAGTGCAGGGGGGGAATGGGTAGTGGGGAGAGAGAGGTACCGTTAGTCTGTGTAGATTTCGTGTATCGTTTGAAATATGGGATTGTGTGTTTCT